TGAATTGTTTGTGAAGGAGAGCTGTGCTATTGAATGGTGAATGGAGAAGAGTGAAGGAGAGGACTGGGCTGGGAATGTAAAGGAATGGCTGGGGGAACGAGGGGGAGCGAAGGGGAAGAACGATTGTCACAAGATGGGTGGACCGGAACGGAAGCGGGGAGTGCTGGCTGGCTGTGGACTGGAGAGAAAGGGTGGAGAGAGGAGGCTGTGGAAAAGGGAGAACATATGAATATCGATAGGCTGGTACCGTTCTGTTTACCGTTCTGTTTGATATTGGTCAACGATCGCTTAAGGAATTGCTAGACAAGCCCCAGGCTAACTATTAGCCAGATCTGTTCGGCACAGGTCCAGAATTACTTTCTCTAATAGTAGCGCACCTGGAGCGTCGCCTAAATTCCTCGAAATCTCGAGAACCGTTTATGAGAACCGATCGATGTGGGGTCGGAAAATGTAGCTGACGATGAGATCTAGTGGGGGATTTGAGTGTTGAGCTTCTGCGGAAACTTGGAAACTGTAAAATAGTCACCAGCTCAGCGGGGTGCACTACTATTAGAGAAAATCCGGTAACTGGCTCAGCTTGGAGCTGAGCCCAAGGTATAAACCAGAAGCAGGCTTTGGATTGGCTCAAGCTTTGGTTTGGCTTTGGATTGGCTTTGGATTGGCTTTGGATTGGCTCAGGCTTTGGATTGGCTTTGGCTGGCTCAGGCTTTGGATCGGCTTTGGCTGGCTCAGGCTTTGGATTGGCTTTGGCTGGCTCAGGCTTTGGATTGGCTTTGGCTGGCTCAAGCTTTGGATCGGTTTTGGCTTAGGCTCAGGCCAATCCTAGGCTCTGGCCAAGCTCTGGCCAAGCTCAGGCTCAGGCTCAGGCCAATCCTAGGCTCTGTCCAAGCTCAGGCCAAGCCCGGGCTTGGGCCAAGCTCAGGCTTAGGCTTGGCTTAGACTTAGGCCAATCGTAGGCTCTGGCCAAGCTCAGTCTTCGACTCAGGCTCTGGCTTTGAATCCGATTGAATTTGGTGCACTAGAAAGGATTTGTTTACACTAGTTTCCCCAAAACATCAGATTGTCACGCGGAAGCGGTCGAGAACGAGAGAAAGAGGATTTAAGAAAACGAAAAGTGACAAACACTTGGAAAAGTCGGGAAATCGATGGAATGCAGAGAAATTGAGAAGTTTTCTCAATTCTCTCAGGGAAATGTCATCACTTTTTGGGGAGGGAAAAGAGGGGAAAACCGCGAAATTTGAAATGGGAAAGGAGAAAGGGACACATGATTGCTCTCTCAATACACAAATAGACACGGGATAGACGTTCTCGGAGACTCGAGATGCGAACCAGGGAACTTCTATACGATTAAATATTATTCAAAGGGTTTTGTGCAATATAAATATCAAAAACTGATAGTGTGACATCCAGATTGGCCAAATTGTTGGAAACAATGGAGGAATGAGGAAAGGAAGGTCGACGAAAGCTTCAGAACAAGAACAAAACGAAACACCAAAGGAAAGTAATAACTTTCTGATATAACGAAGCTCAAAAACGGATAGTGTGACATCCAGGTTGGCCAAATTGTTGGAAACCATGGAGGAATGAGGAAAGCAAGGTCGACGAAAGCTTCAGAACAAGAACAAAACGAAACACGAAAGGAAAGTGATGACTTTTTGATATATCAAATATCAAAATCTTATAGTGTGACATCCAGATTGACCAGGCCTGAAGCCTGACCTCTTAAACTTGAAGCTGACCTCTTAAACTTGAAGCTGACCTCTTAAACTTGAAGCTGACCTCTTAAACTTGAAGCTGACCTCTTAAATTTGAAGCTGACCGTACACTTTAATCCACACACCTTTCAATAGCAAAAGCATCGCTTTTAAACATCTCATCAGGTTGGGCCAAGTCTTGTCTTTACTACAGACTAAGCTTCTGCGGATAGAAGCCAACCCTAACCCTGGTTTTTAAAGGCTTTCAGTCAAGATAGCTAGGTTTAGCACCTTGGCTAGATAAAAGGTTTGGCTAGATAAAAGCTCGAGTCTCACATGATTGCTTTCCTACCCAAATAGACCCAAATAGACCCAAACAGACACAAGACTTTCGTTCGATCGTTGGATTCGATCGCAATGTCAGGTCACAATGGATGACCAGAGCTGCTGAGTGAGCCGAGTGAGCCGAGAAAGACCCGTGAGTGAGCTGAACAACGTGAGTGAACAAAGAGGAGTGATCAATGAAAAGATAGACAGACAGAACAGACAGAAAGCCAGACAGAAAGCCAGACAAGAAATCACAAGAAAAAAAAAATCACTTGAGATATCCGCTGAGAAATTTGTTATTTATTGGCTATTGTTAGTGCAAAGATGAGAGAAAATTTGTGATAACTTTTACGTGGTGAAATAAGCCCAAGAAATCCCAAGAAATCCCAAGAGATCCCCAAGAAATCCCCAAGAAATCCCCAAGAAATAAGCAATGCGGAATATCAGAGTTGATAGTAGACTTCGGAAAACAAAACTTAACCAAAACCATAACCAAAACCAAAACCATAACAAACCAAAACCAAAACCAAAACCAAAACCAAAACTAACCAAAACTCGCCAATATCTCGCGACTGGGAGGAGCTAGCGAAAATCTGTTTGCAGATTTGAAATCAGCATCCAAAAATCTATCCCATAGGCTATTTTTTGTTTCGAAATTTCGAGGTCGTGTTTTGGTCCTTTTTTCGGTTTTGCTTGAGATCTAAAAGATAAATTAATATGTTTAGAAAAGAATCGAAATGACGTGCAGAAATGTGAAATTAGAGATTAGAGAGAAATTAGAGGGAGGGGAAGGGAGTACTTTCAAAACGCGCTACAAAAACATTCTAAATTTTACGGAGGGGGAAGGAAACTTATGGGCGAGTCGAAATAAAAAGTCGCAAAAAACACCACACGACTCCATCACAAAATGGAGAAAAATGAAAAGAATGGCAAATGGGGAATTTTGTGCTGGGTACGGTAGGACATCGACGCTTTAGAAAGCGCGCCGCACCACTTTCGCGTCAGCCCTTTAAACCGCACGCAAATAGGAACCTGGTGTTTCTCCACTATTTGGTGGAGAAATTTTGAAAAATAGATCATGTTGTAGTGGTGAAATTTTGTGGAGTGAGAAAAAGTGAAAGGCTAATTTGCATTTTACAATTTTAAATTTACATCTTAATTTATATGCAAATTGAGTTTTGGTTTCTTTTGGTTTCTTTTGGTTTTGGTTTTGGTTTTGCTTTTGGTTTTGTTTTGGTTTTGGTTTTGTTTTGGTTTTGGTTTTGTTTGCCGAACTCTAGTTGATAGGTTGATAAGGTTCGATTTTGTTGAATCAAAAAGGTTGATAAAGTCAGAGTTGGTCAAGTTACAAATGTTGTTTGGTAAAAAGAACAATTTGGTACTACAATTTGGTACTAAGAGCACTGGTCCACCTGGGCTCTATGGGGAGTTCAGGGTTGAGTCAAGGAAAGCTTGGCTTGGGCCCTTGCCTTTGGAAAGACCCTGAGCAAGATCAAAAACCCTATTCAACTAGGCTCCGCATATTGTTTTTTTTGTTGTTTTTAATCTGCAAATCTTATTTGATTTTCTTTTGTACTTTTTTTTACGCTTTTTCTAAATTAAAGCAATCAGAGCTTTCAGTAGCAAGCTTTCACTTTTTAAATTGAGATTTGCTTTGATAGATTTGTTAGATGATGGTGGATTAGATGATGGTCGATTAAAAGTATGCGTGTCTTCTCTATGATTTCAAGATGGGCAAAAAAAAATGCTGCTAAATCATATCCTGATCTCTGTTCCGCTTTATGAAGAAGTTATGAAGGAGAAGTTATGACCGAAAGATCTTGCCAGCTCTGGTTTGCGCGATTCAGAGAAGCTATTGAATCTCTTGAAGACGAAGAGCATGAGCTTCAAGAAGTTATGACCGAAAGATCCTTCCAGCTCTGGTTTGCTCGATTCAGAGAAGGTATTGAATCTCTTGAAGACGAAGAGCATGAGCATGAGCGATCGATAATAATGAAGAGCATGAGCAATCGATAATAATGAATTGGAACAACCGATGTCAAAGCCGATTCAATGCAGACAACACGAGAGCGTCAATCCTTGATCTGGAAGGCATTTTAGATTTTGGTGTATGGCTAAATGGTTCATAAAACAAAAAAATATCCAGGGTCAGGGTGATCTTGTACTATAGAATACTATGTACAACTGCTCTGCCTAAGCCAGCCTGAGTCTAAGCCTAGGCCTAAGCCTAAGCCTGAGCCAATCCAAAGCCAATCCAAAGCCTAAGCCTAAGCCTGAGCCTGAGCCTGCGCTGGAGGGCAATGCTCGGCCACAGTCTGCTGCCGGACATTCTGCCATGTCTTTGTAGACGCTCAATTGCTTGCAAAGTTTGCAAATCGAAGTTCTTCCTCATCCGCCGTATTCAACTGATCTTTCTCCAACAAATCACAAAAGATTACACTTTTTCAAGCATCTCAATCGTTACATCTTATTGGAGAAGCTGCCGTTTCGTCTCTGATTCCATAATGGCCCAGAATCCCCCACAACGACCTCATACATTTCTAAATCAAAGGATTGAGTGGCCGAGAAAGGGAAAAGAGAAAAGAGAAAAGAAATGAGTGGTCAAAAGGGATAAAACGGAACACATGGCTTCTCTTTTCGATTCTTTGGAGGCTCTGGAGACTAAAAAGGAACCCTTTTCTAGACCAAAAGCCCAGCCTGGCCGCTTTGTGGCCTCTCTTTGGCCACCCTAGAGTCCCTAGACACCCTATTGATTCCCATTATCCAGCATGCACTCAAATTCTCGCAAAATTCTATTGTTTCACTTAGCAACGAATTTTCTAACGTTTCTTAAAGCTTTGTTTAGTCGAATTTTTGCAGAAAAGTCGACTTTTTACAGAAAAATCGACTTTTACAGAAAATTCGACTTTTCAATTGATTTTTCTCGAATTTCAATTAACTTCAAAATTTAGATTCACACAAAAAAAACGAGATGTAACCATGTTCTTGCTAGGGTTGGTTTTAAAAATTTCCATATGAAACGCATGCATAGAAATTTACGAGCGAAGGCAATCAGCAATCAGCAATTAGCAATCAGCAATCAACAATCAGCAATCAACAATCAGCAATCAACAATCAGCAATCAGCAATTAGCAATCAACAATCAGCAATCAGCAATCAGCAATCAGCAATCAGCAACCAGCAACCAGCAATCAGCAATCAGCAATCAGCAATCAGCAATCAGCAATCAGCAATTAGCAATCAGCAATCAGCAATCAGCAATCAGCAATCAGCAATTAGCCATCAGTAATTAGCCATCAACAATTAGCCATCAGCAATCAGCAATCAGCAATCAGCAATCAGCAATTAGCAACAGCAATCAGCAACAGCAATCAGCAATCAGCAATTAGCCATCAGTAATTAGCCACAACAATTAGCCATCAGCAACAGCAACAGCAATCAGCAATCAGCATTGCAACAGCAATCAGCAATCAGCAATCAGCAATTAGCCATCAGTAATTAGCCATCAACAATTAGCCATCAGCAATCAGCAACCAGCAATCAGCAATCAGCAATCAGCAATCAGCAATCAGCAATCAGCAATCAGCAATCAGCAAAATTTCAGCGTTCCAACGAGCTTCGCCCAGGCGGTGCACAAGTTGGCCTTGTGGACTTTGCTGGCAATCATTTTCAGCTCAATCGTTCGCTTTATGTGAGTCGCTAGTCGATTTTTAAATCCGATAGGCTTTAGCTTAAAACCCAATCCATTCTAGATCAGGTTTTAAGCGAAAGTAAAACGATTTTAGGCTTCTTTTGGACATAAACAAACGCGTTTACAACCACGCGCCAGGGCCGTGTCGCGCATTCCGAGAAATCGGTGAGTTTGGGGGGGAGATTTTCCAGCGTCCAAAAGCCAAATCCAAGAGGAAACCAGGCCCAGGATTGACGCTGACTTTCCAGCTGACGCTGACGGCTGGCTGGGCCTGACAAATAAGTCGATATCGGGAGCCAAAAGTCCAAAAGCCATGCTAGCTAAGGTCAAGCTAGCTAAGGCCAAGCTAGCTAAGGCCAAGCCAAGTCAAAGGCAATTGGCCTTGGCCTGGAGTTTCTAGTTTACTGTTGCCTGAAGGGCTGTGGATTTTGCCTGAAGCCTTGGCTTTGGCTTAGCCTGGGAAATCGGTTCTTGGAGCTCTAAGCAAATAAGCAATTGGATTGCCAATGGCAAAATAGGCGCCTTTCCCTTTTTATACGCTCCGCCCCTTTTACCATTGGCAATCTTTGAGCTTTGATCATTTGATCAACTTTGAGCTCAAATTTCTTGGTGTTGGGTGGTCCAATTTCAACAATTTTTGTACCAATCGGCAGAGAAAGACTTGGCGCATCTAATGATATTAAGAAGATTTCAATTGAACAGCTGAACACCAAGAAATTCGAGCTTAAAGTTAGATTTCCAGTGTTCATGCCAATGCCAATGTATCAAATGTCCGATAGCTTCTAAATGAAAATGAATCTTCCATTTAGTGAACGGCTCGGCTGGACTGGAGCAGATAGACGAGGAGAATCTCGTTTTCATCACAACAGGGCTAGCAAAATATCGAGGTAAAACGATCTAGATCTGTCGTTTGAGAGACACTTGCCGTTTAGGCATCGAGAACACAAAATCCGGCCTTTTCATCTACTCTTTTCCGGAACCAAGCGATCAAGCCGTTCAGCATATTGCAAGAGAAGTGAAAATCGAGAATTTCTCATTGGTGAGTGTCACCTGGGTTCTTTAGTAGTGCAGAAGGGTACTTCAATAATTCTAGATCCAAGTCCAAGCCAGGCTAGGCCAGGCCAAGCCTTCTGGTGGTACCCAGACCAAGCCTTCTAGTGCTACCCAAGCCAAGCCTTCTGGTGCTACCGAAGCCAAGCCTTCTAGTGCTACCCAGGCCATTGAGCCTATCTAGTAGCACTAGAAGCTCTAAGCATCCCTATCTAGGCATCCCTAGATCCTCTGGTTCCAAGCGAGCCTACAGTAATCCAACCGAGCCTACAGTAATCCAACAGAGAGCCGCCATTTGGCTACCATAGTTTTCTAATCCGTTTCCTAATTCGTTTTCTAATCGATTTCCTAATGCGTTTCCCAAAACGTTGTCTTTTCTACCGTAATCTCTAAGGGAAAAGCGGAGCAGTTTAGCGTAGTCTAAATCGAGTGTTCAAATTTTCCACTTCTACAAGAACCCACCGCTTTCCAGTCTCATTTCGCTCCATTCGGTGTCACTCATTTCTCATCAAAAGGTCGTCTCCACCTCTACATCATCAATCGTTTCCCAACGCCGAATTGCGTCGAAAGTTTCACGTACAATAAAGAGAAGAACACGGCAACGTATCGAAAATCGATTTGCGATCCGAGATTCTCAAGGTGAGTGAGCAGGCAGGCCATTCAAGAAAATCGGTGCTGTGAATCGATTGAATCAATTCTCGAGGTGAACCTCCAATCCAACTTCTCGAACTATTTTAAACCCCAGTGCGTGCCAGTTGAGTGATTGAGCCAGTCCCATTAACCCGACTTGTCTCTCCTACAAACTTTTTAGCCTCCAAGACATTGTTGCTGTTGGTCCGGATCGCTTTTTCGTCACGAACACCCAGTTTTCCGGGCGTTTATGGGCGCAAACGGTCGAGGCAGCTTTTCAGGTAGCAGATTTTCTATTGGGTCTAGATCCTGGTTAGAATCTGGTACAGTTGTCAAACATGGCCCGTTTTGTGGTCAGGATCGAACCTGGATCTGGGCCTAGTTTTGACCCGTATTGTAGGCTGAACTGACCTGGTTCAAAAGCTTAAGCTTAGGCTTAGGCTTAGGCTTAGGCTTAGGCTCAGGCCTAGGTCTAACCTTGGCTCTGGTGTCTGACCTTTGTGTACCACTGAATTCAAGGCTGGTCTTGGCTCCGATGATCTCTGATCCAATTCTTGTCTGGATCTAGAGCTGACTCTGGTCTTGGTTTGGGTGTAGTCAATACCAATACCAATGACTCTGGTCCGTTGAGTGATCTTTTCTGGGGCTAGGTCTGTTGAATCCTTTCGGTTAAATCCACCTAATGGTGAATTTGATCCAGGTTAGCTCTGGTGTTGTCTAGTCTAGATCTAGCGCCGGTCAATTCTGATCTAATCCGATCAAGCTCTGATCAAGCCCCGATCAAGCCCTGATCAAGCTCCAATCAAGCTCTGATCAAGCTCCGATCAAGCTCTGATCAAGCTCTGATCAATTCTCGTCTAAAACCAAGGCTCAATCGCTAGCATCCCATTTTCAGGCCTCGTCCGGTTCCCTTTATCTATGGGACGGGAAAAGTGTGATCCCGTCGATCAACTGGATGCCGACACCGGGAGGATTGGCATTGGACAAAAAGCGAAGTCTGCTTTTCGTCGGCTCAATTCTCAGTGAGGTAAGTCGAGATGTCAGAGTGAGATGTCAGCGTGAATGTGACGCAAACACAGCCTCTCTGGCACACTGGATTACTTCAAAAATCCATTTTCAGACAATTCGCGTCTATCAACTCACCCCATCACTAGCGCTAAAGCAACAGACCGAAATTTCGCTTCTTTCCTCTCCGATGGGAATTTACGTTGAAGAAACGAGCGGTGACGTGAGTTTCACAGTAAATACAGCAGACAATATTTTCGAGGCGTACAGCCGCGTTTCAATGATAAGTGAATATTCAAAGATGATCCAAACTATTCCTCGTCATTCGATAGCCTTGAAACTCGTACAAAGTACAAAGTTATCGAGAACTAGTACAAAGTTATCGAGAACATTCTGCAAAATGCCATAAATAACTGCAATAAAAAACAAAAGTCCTTCAAAAATTGAGCCTTGAGCCTATTGCGCTGATCTGGGTGTGCTCTGCGCTGGCACTAGTGTAGTTCGAAATGACATCAGCCCGATCTGACTCTGATCTTGGCCTGGACTTGACTCTGATTTTGTAAAAAGATATAAAAATTCAGATTTGGACCGCATTGCTCCCAATCGTGCACACCACATTCTATCACTTGACCGACCCAGCGGAAAGTCGAATTCGCGCCCCATCACAGGTGTTACGCGTGAGATTACAGGTGAGTGAGTGAATGTTGCTGAGTGAGTGAGTGAGTGAGTGAATGGCGGCTCCAGCCATTCTTAACCCCATCCCTGGGTCCGTTTACCGTTGGCACGTCTCGCTCGATAGTCAATTATTTTTGGAGAATCCCTTCAATGATTTACTATCGAGCGTCGACTGTATTTTGCTCATATCTTAGCCGGGTTTTTTTTTGAAAAACGTTGAATTTATTTTCATTCATAGAAAATTCGATTTCGAGTCAAATGAAAGCAAATTCAACGTTTTTTCAACCAAACCCGGCTAAGAAACGAGCAAAATACGTGGATTGCCAACGGCAAACGGACCGAAAAAGGGGCTTGGTTGCAGAGAAAACACGAAAACAACCAACAGCTGATCCCTAATCCATTTTCCTAGGGCCTGTAAGCCAGCCTAAACCAGCTGGCTTAGCTGGCTAGTACAGATTCAGAGCTATTCTCGCCTGGTCCTAAGGCTTGTGAGCCAGCCCAGGCTGGTCTGGCTGAAACCAGATCCAGTGCTAGCCAAGCCTACAGTAAAGCCAACCAAGGCCAGGCAAGGGAAGGCCTAACCTTTCCCGGAAAAACGACCCTGAAAGCCTTGGTTGGCTTAAGCATAAGATAAAAAGCGGTACACCAGTTTCACCTGACTTAGACAGAGTCAGGGATCTTCCAAATGGCTCTATCCATGAAGTATGCATGTATGCAATTTTCAGGAAGACGGTATTTCGTGGATTGTCACCGAACCGTACGCAAATGATGGCGCGACTCTGTCGGCCTCGGCATCGGTTCTTTTCGCGAAAGATCAACTCTTGATCGGCTCTTTGTTCGGCCGTTTACTGCACTGTGATGTCATCAATCCAATGATCACCTAACTATTCTCTTTTCTCAAAATTTTGCCTGTACCCTCAAAAAAACTTCAAAACTCAAGAAACCCTGTGATAATCTCAAAATAACGATCTTTCTGTACCATTGCTGAAGTTCAAAAACTAAAAATCTCAGTAAATCCTTTGAAATTAAAAATTTTTTATTTGAACAAGCATAAAATTTGAAAACTTGCAAACCCGCATGTCGTAAAAATGTAAAAATGTCGTCAAACATCACCGGTTTACAAATTTGAGTTTAAAGGATCATACAAAGTAAAGCTCTAGCAAAATAACAGAGAATAGCAAAATAAAATGATAAATGAAACATGGAAATTTGAAAACTGATAATAGATGAAACCTGAAAATTTTAACCTCAAAGTGCTTGGATCATTTGCGTCAAAAGCTCAAAATCGCCTCGGGTGGCCATCTCGCGGAGAGTTTCAATCTGTGAAGCGGCTCCGGTGCACGACGAGAGACGCTGCGAGGCCGTGTACGCATTTCGGACCACCTAAATGAAGAAAAATTTTGACTATTGTTAAACTGAAGTCGCTTAGAATATTAGATTAGTACTGTGTGTTGCACGTCATTCATTAGTTCACTAGAAAGTTTACTTAGCAGAAAGTTCCCGAAACTTTCATGACCGTTTTTAGATTCGGAAGGATTGGCATTTCTCAACTCCGAGAGGTTTAGAAACTCTATTGCAAAAGTTGCGAACGGCCAGGCAAGTAGGGCACAACGCTTTCCACTTATAACGCTTTTTTTAAATGGCAATTTATAAAGCAAATTCTCTCACCTCATCGCGAATTCCGGCCAGCTTCGCCGCATAGAAACCATACGATTTGGGGCAAATGCCGGCGACGAGGCGATAGAGAAAAGTGACCGTTTCCATTGTCGGATCCTCCTCGTTCTCGCCCTCAACCATGCACGCCTAAAAACCAGAAGTAGACCGTAATACACCATAAGAAGCAAGAATGAACAAAACTCCCACCATATGTGCCATCAAGACGCGTGGGTTGTCGGCAACGCGAGTACACAATGTGTGATAATGCGTTGAGAAAAGCGTGCGACATCTCAGCTGATCGGCCAACTCGGCAAGCACTGCTGACGCAATCGCCGTCCCGTCGTAGGTACTAAAAGCTGGAATCTTAGTAAACTTTAAAAGTAAAAAAGTTGGAGTTGAGTGCTTACGCGCGTTTTTCCTGTACAAATAACCGAATTAAGCTTAAATCCTTACCTAGTTCCCCTTCCAAGCTCATCGATCAACACCAGCGAGTGTGAAGTGGCCGATTTGAGCACCAGACGTGTTTCCTGCAATTCCACGAAGAAAGTCGATTGACCTAAAGGAAAAACGACATTTATTTTCTCTGTAACTAGTTTCACTCAAATTAAACCCTCACCGGCAACAATGCGATCATTCGCGCCGATTCTGGTGAAAATTCGATCCACCGGCGTCAAGCGCATCGATTCAGCCGGCACAAAAGACCCCTAGGAGGTGAAGATTTGAGAAATGTAGATATACAAGACAGTAAGCTAATCAAAACCCGATTATCTAAAGCTTTTAGAAAAATACCATATGTGCAAGAACGGCAAGCACAGCCGTTTGCCTCATCAGCGTCGATTTTCCACCCATATTCGGCCCGGTCAAGAGCATGCACGATGGATGTGAGCCGCCGAGGCTAAAGGGTATAAATTAAAGAGACTTCTAAATGTTTTTGACTGACTAGGTTAGCTTCTATTGAAATTGAACCGAATCAAGGTTAGGGATCACATTTTGTACCTAATCGATCTCATAAGAACCCACTTTGTATCATTTGGAATGTAGGTGGAGGGCTGTGCAGCATTTCCCGTTGAGATTAGTCCTTTTGTGGCGAGGCACGGATGAACACCAGCCTCGACGCTCAAGTAGGCCTAAAATTACGTATCTCCAGCTTTAAATGTCAATTTTGGGGTAAAACTATAGAAATCAACAAAACACACCTCTGTGGCATCAAAATCGAACACTGGCCGGCAAATCTTGAGGCCACAAGTGCGTGCGAATTTCGCCAACGAGATGAGCACATCGACGACGGCAATCCTTTTCACGACCGAATCCCATTTGGAGGCCCTAGAAGTTATTGTATTGTTGCATTAAACCAAATCTACTTCTTAGTGAAAAGATTTTGAACCAGGAATGTTCCGAATTGCAAATTTTCAAGTTCACTTTCAGACCAAGCCAGGCCGGGCCAGAAAACAAGAGTGAAGCTTGGGTTTTTTTTTCAATTTCACCTGGGTGATCAAGAATCAGGTCTGGACTTGGCTTAATCCTGTGCAACTCTAGTTTGTGCCTAGGCTTTCTAACTAAAGGAGATGGTAGGTGATCAGGGTTCTTTCAAGAGCAGTCTTGCTGACCTCCTATCTTTGGCCTTTGGTTCCGGTCTGACCTGACCGACCCACAAATGCCTGACCTGTCCTATAGCCGGACTTCTGGCCTGACCTGGTTTACAAGCCATAGTGTCCGCTTGGAAAACCCCGAACTTCTCTGCTAAAGTTCAAGTTTAACCAGGCCAATCTCCTGGATCTGCCCTGGCTCCACACGAACATCTCTGTTCCAAACTTTCTACTTAAGGATCGAGTTTAACCCCACCTCGTATCAAAATCCGCAAAAACGCGTCTCGTAGAGTCAGCCTGTAGTCGGTCTCGTTCCTCTTCGGCTTTTCCCAGTTGATCGATCATTTCCCGCAAATCCTCGGTGTAATAACGAGCAAATCCCTAAAATTTTACTAAAACGATCATTTGAAAGTCGTCAACCTTTCTCTTGCTCGACAACTCATATCGATGTGACATTTTCATCTTCTCCGGGAACTCCATCTGATAACGATTGCGTCCCGTTCCAATGTAGGTGACCTAAAAATGTTTGATCTTTGACATAGTTAAACTTCTCAATGCTTAAAATGAAAGATTTGCTTGTCTTGGCCTGGAGAATTGGCCCTGGAACAATCCTGATCAATAAAGTATTGTCTATTTACCTTACAATCATTGTCCTTTTCCTGTTTTCGTCGATACTTCTCGAGTTGTTTCTCCATTTCTCCCACATTCTCCACAGCAGCATCGTACTCCTGAACGTGTTTTTGAGCCAACAAAGTATGACTCTAAACCTCACCTGATCCAAGCCCGGTTTCGGCACAATGATTCCATCTTTTTCGGCCTTCTCGTGGTTGAAAGCTACCTAAAAAGCCGGTTTCAATGAAAACCAAGAAAGCCTACTTTGAAATGTTTCAAATCTTCCGTGATATCGGGCACATGTTCGACACCAATGAGCGTGTCCAGCAAAGCGACACTAAAATATAAGATTTAAGAACTTGAGCTGCCAAGCAACCTTTCCCCTTCCATGCGACACTCATCGTAGACGTCGACCAAACGCCGAGTTGTCTCAAAGCCTCGCAAAGTGACGAGCAAATCCTAATAATATCTGTAGAATTGCAAACTTTCTAATTTGCGCACCTTGATCTTCCGGCGATTATACTTGGGGCCCTCAAACATGACCGCTCTTGCATCGGGGTGCTCTTCAGCACGGTATTTCAGACCCAGGGTGTGGATTCTAAGACTTGTTTCATGAAATTGAGCTTAATAGACTTTTTTGTTATTTATCGCCCGATTAAGCAATCCTTAAACTGTTTAAAAGCTTCAATATACTAAATTCTTTAAAAGCTTACTTGAAACTAGCTACTCAATCGCGTTTTGATAGCTTGTGCCTAAACATACTTTTGCAATAATCGGGCCAAATCCGGGATCGCCTTCAGCTCAGCGTTCGCTTTTTCGGCGAACTCATTTCCGAAAGCCCCGTGCAGCCACTCGATTGCGTCTTGTCGCTTTCGAATCGTTTCCGGATCACACGTCGGCTTGCACACCCACTCGTGGAGAAGACGACGACCTGAAAAGAGGAAACGTTTAAGAATTGACCAAATCAAACGTTCAATTTAGTAATTTTGGAACACAATAAGTTAGACATATAGCCAAACTTTCAGATCAATCTGCCCAGCCTATTTCCTTGTATGCTAATTTTATGAATTTTCAGAAAAATGGGAATTTTTCCTCAAGATTACTTCGAAACAAGCTCAAATATACTTAAAGATGACAGTATGTAAACGATAAACATTTTTAATAAAGCAATATACTATCCATAACTTAGTCATGCCCAGTTTGGTCCTGCAAATCCAGGCTTTGAATTCCCAAGCACATTGTAGAGTCAAGTCCTTACCCCAAGCCTGCACATCGACAGTTCAAAAACTCACCAAATGAGGTCGCACACCGATTCACCACATTGAGCAACGAGTAGGCAGCGCTGGTCGAGTCGCGAGCGTTACCTAAGCAAGTTATGTTCAAGTTTATTTACACCAATAGTCCCAATTCATTTACTATGACTTATAGTTGTGCTGTTAAAATTGAATTCAACTCTTGAAACGCACCTCCACTCGGCAGTAGATTCAAATTCTCCAGTGTGACACTATCAAGCACCATGTGTCGTCCCCGCCATTTCTCTTCACCCGGCACACTCATCAACTCCTAAAAATTTGAGCGTCAAAACCCCCAGCAGAAAGAGCTCACATTTTTCAGCTCCAATCTCGGATCGTATTCCTCGAATCTTCCCATCGTCAACATATCCACATCGATCAGACATCGTTGAAGGAACCTGAAAAATGGTGAATAGAAAGATCACAAGGTTTTAGTCTTTTATGACCGCAAAATATTGTGATAACTCTTTAAAGCCTATCAGGTCATCATTTCCCCACAAAAACCTCACCAAATCACCGCTCCTAGCGCACTCCAGAGCGCCGATGAACCATTAGTCGGTTGCGGGATCGTCGAGTTCGAATCCAAATATTGTCTCAAAGTTGGTGGCCAAGTAGATGCATCACTTCCCAAGTAGTTGACGCCACAAAGCTAAAAATGTTACTTTAATGAAGTCTATAGATCACATTTATCGTCTCTGACATGTCAATAGTAAAAAAATCCAAACTTTCTATCATTAGACCTGACCTGACACGTTCAACCTTTGGAGTATTTGTTTATTCTGTTTAATGTGCCACAAAAAAAACCAATTTCACGGTGGCTTCGGCGGTGAGGAATTGCGATTTCGGCAACAATTGTTCACATGGCACTGATGAGAGCATCGAGTCGATGATCGCCCGCGTTGTTGCGCTCATCGAGTTGCGTTCAATCAACACCTGAAATGCAAAATATTGTTGGTTTTTAAGCCAACAACGATCTCATGAAGTTAAAGCTTCGTCTCAGTGATGCCAGCCAAAAATCGTGGCCATTACCAAAGAATTTACTCACCAAAATTTTTAGCTATGGCACATTTTACAAGAGCTGTGCTTGATTGTCGTCAAAACGTCGCAACTACAGCCACTTCTGACTTTTTCGCCACCAAATCAGTATCTCGCTAATGTACCAGATCAATTTTTTAATCCGTTTCCCAATCAAGTGCGTGTGCCAAAGTATCCAAGCCAAAATTTCGCTTGCCTAACGGTGCAAAAAGTCCAGAAAAGTGCAAAAGTTCAAGTCACACTCGCATTTTGAGACCTTTTCCGTCAGTACGTACGGTTTAAGGTAATGCTTGCGACGAACAATCAACGATTATAGCCTCGGATAAGCACACCGCAAATGAGAATCTTCGTTAGCAAGTTACAATCTTTGGAAAAGCATCACTGACAAGTGCTTTCTTAAGCTATAGTCATATCTAAACCGTCATACCTGTACCGGTTGAAAACTCGCAATCAGCGTGCGCAGCGATGAGTGATACTCATCGTCGATGAAATGCGCAACGGTAAATTGTCCAACAGCTGTGTCGATCATACAAACCCCGTACGTGTAAACATTTCCATTGCTCTGAAAGAACATAGTTTAGTTATAAAAGTGTGAACAAACGATTTGTTTGATGGCAATTAGAGGCTTCGCGGTGGCTTCACCCGTCATTCCGCCGTCAATCGAATCGATCGGGCCATAGGTTTTTGTTCCAGAGGTCGTCACGCGACAGAGCTCCCTAAACTTGTAAAGTTAAGCTTTTAGATTACTGAAATCGTCAATATTAGACTTTGGAAATCTGAGACGTGTAAAAATTTAGCTTTTAAATCACTAAGATCGTCAAATAGGGTTAATATTGGACTTAATTTTCATCCCAGAGTTCAACAAGTCAGAAACTTGTCTTGTAGCGTTGTTTTTAGGTCAAATTTTTCTTTCACCTATCGTTTTCGACCAAAACAGTTAAATTTTGCACCAATTTAGCTAACTTTTACTGCTCCGTCACCAAATTTTTCCTCCAAAAACGCGCACCTTCTCACAACTTTGTCGGATTTCTCCTTTTTTTTCGCCACTTTCGTTCGATTCTCCAATTGTTCCGGGGTTTCCGTTTGTTCGATGCGAGCCACCTGAAATTTTAAAAGAGTATCCGGTGATGAGGATTTAATGTACAAAAAGTTCAAAAATTCACCTTAAATCCCCTAGAAACAAGTTGATCCGCGAAACGTCCATAGGCCGACTCGGGGAAACCAGCGTGCGCAAATTTGCCCTGAAACGTGCAAAGTCAACAATATAATCAATCTAAATGCAAAAAGGCAATATTTATTATCAATAGGATCCAAAGATTTACCCGCATATAGGTCAACGAAAGGTGATTCACTGCAATGACGGCGTCCATATGGTACAACTCGTAGAATTTGCCGACTTTGAAGAGAAGAACCGTGTCGAAATTTTTTGCTTTGATCGTCCACCATTGAGAATGTCCTGAAAAAAGAAAGGTTTATACGGACTTGAGAAATTGATTGAGACATTTCGGGCATTGACTACTCCATTCAAGCTTAACATACACAGGTTTGTTGCTTGTTTTTAACTGGGCAAAAGATAATAAGTACATTTCTTTAGCCGCACAACTTTCGAGAGCTATTCTTTCTAATTTGATCTGCAAGCCAGTGACATTTGCACCAGTGAATTGTTGAGCTTGACTCCGTTTTCAAGTTTTAGATAAAAATCGATGACACAGTACCTGGTGTTTGTTCTCTTAAAAAGTCGGGCGGCAGGAAGAGCGTTGTTGGATCGTAATCGGGATCCGAGCTGAGGCGTCGCCGTTCATCGCGAAGATTTTCCCGCTAAAACGAGTTGCACTATGAAGAATAAAGATTGAAACCTTTAGGAAGTCGAATTTCTCATGGTCATAAACCATCGCCCCGTCAATTTCCGGCAGATCATCTTCGTCATTTTTTTTCTTTTTCTTCGTTGATCGTTCACCATCAGCCATGTAGATCGTTTTGTCCAACGTGCACATAGAAGCAATTGTTGTGTCCTAAAATTTAAACATTTATGACGTAAACCTTTTCTTTTAACGATAAATTTAAGGACGATAAATTTAAAACGATCATAATAAAAGTTCAAAGACGTTTTTACTTTGAAAAATGGCTATTCACCCATTGGTGCAACTTTTCGTGACCTAGCCGCTAATAAAGCTTGTGTGCAAATCTCTTTTCAAAGCAGTCACTCACCATTTCATTGTCACTTTCATCTTTGCGAAACGAGTCGATGAACGATTTGGCTAAACCGGGAGTCGACATTGGTGTCATCGCAGAGCTAAACGTTCACAAGTTACTCAAATTTGTTATAAATTACGTACTCTTCACCAAATTTCGTCTTCGGGGTGCTGGGGGTCAACTGTGGGCGCACGGAGAGGCACTAAAAAACAAAAGATTGATATCACAATTGTAAACATCGGTGGGGGTTGAAAGAATCGAGAAAATCGATTGATCTGCTCAATTTCAAAACTAATTAGGGCCACATTTCAAGCTTGCTGATTCCAATTCATTCAAATATGAGCTGAATTTACTGGCTTAGCTGATCAATTTCGATTTGATCTAATCTGATCATTATTTCAATGCTTTTCCCCAATCCTGCTTACAATCGCCAACGACCCAAAACTTACTCACCCCAAATGCCTTCTTTGTCTTTGGTGTCATCAATGCTGTTGACGTTTTTGGCGGTGTGATGTTTTCTTCATCGCCTTTCTTGCTTCCTTGTTCATTTTCCTAAAGCAAATCGCATTATTAAGTGAGTCGAGATTGTTTTTACAAGCAAATTTTCAATTTTCAGACATTCTTTAATCACAAAAATAACGAGTTCGGCAATTTCACTATTTACTTTGTAGAAACGCGACAAAATTACGAGTTTCAAATTTCAAACCACAACTTTTTACAACGAACCTCAAAATCCTCATCGTCACTTGAAACAAGCACGCGTCTTTTCGGTTTTGTTCGACGTAATTCATCCTCTTTTTGATCCTCTTCCTCATCAACGTCTCGTTGACGTTTTTTTAACGAGCGTGCCTCTAAAAATAACGAATTAATCACCTTTGAAGCACTTGAAGTTTACAAGTAGACATTTTTAAAGGCTTTCTTAGCACATTTACCTTGTCAAGCTATCACATTTCTCATCTAATCGCAGTTTTATGCTTGTATATTGTATTGTATGTTTGCTTGTATGTTGCAAAATTGTATGTTTTCCTTAAAATAACAGATGAAACACCTTTTTAAAGCTCTAAAATTTACAAGTAAACATTTTTAGAGGTTTTGTTAGTCTTCTAACGTGTCAACCTCTTCCATTTTCCATCTAATCGTGGTTTTACGCTCAAGATCGTGTACTTTTCTTGAAATCTATCCAATTAGTGCATAAGTCGAGCGTTTTTTTTGGCCGTTTCCTTGTTAATGCGTTGGGTACTTGTCGGTTATACCCCACAAACATTTGCATACCATACAAACAAGTCAAATTAGCATAATTATTTGTAGTTAAAGGGCTAAAGATTTTCAAGGAATACTTCTAGACTAGCTTACAATAAACATAGTTAAACTTGAACTACGTAAAACAGTAGTTTGATGCTAATTTAGTTGGTCAATAAGCCTTGTGAGAGTCTAACAAGTTAGATTTACGTCCAACTAGCATCCTGTTTTATTGAAATCACCGAAAATTCTCTCAAAATTTGTTCAAAAGTTGTCTTTTGAACAAATTTCGAGAGAATTTTCGGTCTTCTATAGCTTTTTTGGTGCTTTGGTGGTTGGAAGGGGCCACTTTTGGCTTGGCTTAGTCGAATCTAGTGTTTTGAATGGTTCGTGTCGATACTTTTCTTCCATTTCAGCGTAATTATATATCCTGAAGTGATTGGTGCTAATTTTAGAGTATTTCCAACACGTTTCAAGTTAGTATTGCAGCTTTTCAAGTGCAATCAGCTTTGAGCTGACGTTTGGTAGTTAAAGTACAGCAGGCTAGAACACAAATCATCGAAAAGGATTATCAAAAATGTGCTTAAACTTGCACCAATCGCTTCAGCATATATCTCTTTCTTTAGAATAGAAGAAAAGTATCGACATGAACCGCTCAAAACACTAGATTCGACTAAGCAAGTCAAAAATAGCCTCTCCCAACCACCAAAGTACTGCTTTTTTGCTGTGTAAAGTACTTTTTTTTTTGCTCATTTTCTTTAAAAGAAACTAAACACAAACCTTTTGGGGTAAAAACCTCCGGCTTTTTAGATCTCGCTTTTGGAGTCGACGGGCTGTCAGCGTTTTCCTCATCCAATTTTCGTCCTGGCGTCCCGAAAAACTTCAAAAGGCTGCTTTGTCGTTGAGCGGACATCTAAAAATGCAAAATTAGAGATTTTAAAGCTTTTAAAACATGGAAATAAGAATAAGAATAAGGTCAAATAAAAAAAAATGTTCAATAGAAGGCCCAATTCTGAAAAATGGCTCTTTTCAACGTGTAAATGGTTCTGTTTTGGCGCAAATTACAGCTTTTCAAATATCAAATACAAAAACTACTTGTTTTTGAGTGAAACCGCGTTAACTTCCCCCATTTTTTCGGCTAAATTAGGGAGTGGGACAAATGCGACCTTTTTTTGCGCACCCTTTTTCCGCACCTTGCCCATTAGCGCACCTGTTTTCGCGTTTTAAGCTCTAAAAGCTAATATTAACCAATTTCTATTCCAAAAGTTGTTTTTCTAGGTAATTTGAGGGCGTAGAATCGAAATTTTGGCATATCAGAGCTTGTGGAAGCGAACGGACGGAGTTATACAAGAGACAAACCAATTTGAAAGACAAAACGGCTAGGTCAAATTACAGAAAATTGTTGATTTTTCTCTTTGTATAACTCCGTCCGTTCGCTTCCACAAGCTCTGATATGCCAAAATTTCGATTCTACGCCCTAAAATTACCTAGAAAAACGGGGGTGGGACAAATGCGACCTTTTTTTGCTGGAAAAGGCCTTAGGCAAGGCCGTAGAGCTTCGAAAATTTTTCCATATAAGGGAATCGTATGCGTAGATTCCGAATTTCGACAAATCAGACCTCGCTGACACGTCAAATTTGGGTTAAAAGGCAAAAACTACGCAACTTAACGCTTTTCCGCAGTTTTTGCCTTTTAACCCAAATTTGACGTGTCAGCGAGGTCTGATTTGTCGAAATTCGGAATCTACGCATACGATTCCCTTATAGGGAAAAATTTTCGAAATATTTTCGAAGCTCTACGGCCTTTCCTAAGGCCTTTTCCAGCAAAAAAAGGTGCGCAAATGTCCAGGTGCGCAAAAAAAAGGTCGCATTTGTCCCACCCCCAGAAAAACAACTTTTGGAATAGAAATTGGTTAATATTAGCTTTTAGAGCTTTTTTAAAACGCGAAAAAAGGTGCGCTAATGGGCTAAGTGCGGAAAAAAGATGCGCTAATGGGCAAGGTGCGGAAAAAAGGTGCGCAAATGTCCGGGTGCGCAAAAAAAAAAGGTCGCATTTGTCCCACTCCCCTAAATTAAGTTCTTCTAGTATATTTTTGCGCATTTACTTCCAGTCTTTGTATTTTCTTCCCGTTTTCTCTTTCTTTTGTCGACCTATTACATTCGGGGCCCACGCGTGGCAAAGGCAAAGGCCGGCGTGACAAATGCTGGGTCTCGGGGTGAGCCAAGCTGGCCACCTCTATGGCCACAAGAAATCGAGAATTCGTCGAATTCTTGACGATTTGAAGTACCTTTCGGCAAAATTTGCTCCCCCGATTTTCCTTTCGCTCCCCCGATAATCGGACCGCTCCCCGATATTGGAAAAGTACCTACGTTTCCGTTGTTTCTTACTTTTTTATCAACTTAAAACATTCTATGTTTCTTTTTTAGATGACGACTCAACGACAAAGCAGCCTTTTGAAGTTTTTCGCGGCGCCGGGACAAAAATTGGCTGAGGAAAACGCGGTCGAGACTAGAGTAGTTGGAGGGGCAGTCTAGAACTTGACCCAAAATCAATCTTTTTCCACGAAAACTTGCACCCAGCGGTTTTTGACTATAATATTATAGGCGCATATATTTACCTAGGCTTTGGCTCCGCACCTTAGAGGCACGTGGCTCCTAGGCTATCGCCTGTGGCTTCTAGGCTATTCTCATACGGCTCAGGTCAATTTCGTTTAAGCTAGAAGCCACGTGCTTCCGGTTCGAAACAGCCGTAGGAGAATCAGGCGATAGCCTAGGAGCCACGTGCCTCTAAAATGCGAAGCCTAGGCAAATATAGGAGCCTTGAATTTTGTTCAAAGTTGCGAAAATGTTGTATGAAACCATCATCAATCGATTCAGCATAGTCAAAAACCCCTGTGTGCAAGTTTTCGTGGAAAAATATTGATTTTGGGTCAAGTTCCAGACTACCTAGACTCAACTACTCTAGCCCCACGCGGTCAACCCACCAACTCCAAAAGCAAGATCAAAAAAGCTGGAGATTTTGATCTCTAAAGGTTTGTTTCGTTTGTTTTATTCGTGATTTTTAGTGCTTTAAAAATGATTCATTCGTTATTTTTTAGACGCATTTTCGTTGAAAAGAGAGCAGCGAAAGGTTGACGAGACGAAAGAATAACAATTTCGCCAGAAAAAATAAAAGACGATCATTTCAAATGACTGGGGATTCTGAGGTTCTTTTTAAATACAACAATTACACTGGTGGTCATATGTATTAGTACCCTCTTGCAAAAAATCTTCTCTTAACGATTGCCCCCCTTAAAACGCTGCCAAATTCAAAGTGCTAAAAAGCATTTTTTGCTAACAAGCTCTAGTCTCTAAAACCACAAAAAATTGATTCGAAATGTTTATTATCTTTTTAAAAAATAGCAAGGACGGAAAAGACACCTCAAAAATGGTGGACAAAAGTATTGACACCTTAGCTTTTCCTTTATTTTTTTCTTGTTTACATTCATGTTTTGATGACTTTTTAAAATATTTAATTTTAGATGCCGTATCTACTGACTCCAATCAAAGAAAAGATCGTTGAAGGTCGAAGAAATGGAATGAAAACAGCAGATTTGGCTGAACAATTTGGATGCAGCGAGAGCACGGTGAAACGACTTTTTAAACAATCAAAGATTATCGGTTCTCTACACAGAGCTGCAAAATCTGGTCGACATCCATCAAGAACAACTGCCGAGAATCGATCGATCATAGGGGAATTCAAAAAGGACCCAAGTCTCACCTCGACCGACAAAAGCCGCCTGTATAAATCACAATTCAGCACAGATATCTCAGCAAGGACCGTGAGGAGGCGACTCATCAAAGCAAAGTTGTACGCTAGACGACCAATAAAGAAGCCACGTATGACTCCTCGGATTAGGAAACTTCGTTTAGCCTTTGCTCGGAGGTACCAAAGTTGGACGAGTGACGATTGGAAACGAGTAATTTTCTCTGATGAGACAAAAGTTAATCTCTATCAGTCGGATGGACCTCCATTGATCAGGCGACCGATTGGAAAGCGGTTATTACTCAAGTACATCAAACCCACGGTTCGATTTGGGGGTGGAAATATTATGTGCTGGGGTATGAATTTCTATAGTTTTCTTCGTATAACTGTCAACTTGCAGGAGCGATGACAAGAAATGTGGTCGGTCCACTTGAGATGATCAATTCAACCATGAAGTCTCAGCGATACATGGGAATACTTGAGCAACGTTTACTTCCATTTGCGAGCAAAACATTACCTCAAGGATGGTTGTACTACCAGGACAACTCGCCAGTTCACACAAGCAAACTTATTATGGGACCTGTCGGAAGACTCTCGAATGGAAGACGGGTACGATTTCCGGGCTGGTTTGCGATTAATGGTGTTTCTTTGATTAAAGCATCTCCCTTTTCACCAGATTTGAACGTTATCGAGAATCTATGTTCGATTGTGAAAGCGAAATTGAAGGAGAAACACTTTTCGCCCAAGGCGAGCTTTGGCTCTATCTACGTCTTGTCTGGAATCAAATTGGATCATCAGTTTTGCACAATTTGGTCGACTCGATGCCCAGACGGATAGAAAAAGTCATTCAAGCCAAAGGAGGGCCAATAGACTATTAAATTTACTGTTGTTTTTGCAAGGTGTCAATACTTTTGTCCACCATTTTTGAGGTGTCTTTTCCGTCCTTGCTATTTTTTAAAAACATTTCGAATCAATTTTTTTGTGGTTTTAGAGACTAGAGCTTGTTAGCAAAAAGTGCTTTTTAGCACTTTGAATTTGGCTGCCTTTTAAGAGGGGCAATCGTTGAGGGAAGATTTTTTGCAAGAGGGTACTAATACATATGACCACCAGTGTACAATTGTCTTTCAAAAGTACATTTTTGGGGGTAGTCTAGTTTCCGCAACTCGCCATAACTTTCTTTTAAGTGGATCAATCTTTATGATTTTGGTGTCATTTTGTTGCACTTATTGAGATCTACAAAATGAAGCCAAATCATAGAGATTGGCCGACTTAGGAGAAAGTTATGGCGAGTTGCGCAAAAAAAAGTTGCGGAAGCTAGCCTATCATTTTTGTACAATGCGCGATTTTTACGACGGAAATTTCCGACATACTCTGTTCATAAAATTTTATGAATCATTCAAAAGTTCAAGGGAACAAGGGAAGATCAACTGGCTGAGCCGGCCAAATGCTATTTGACCTATACCATTTGACGCAGAATTTTACGCTAATTCTGAATATATATTCCGTTTTTTGCCAAATGACAATCTGCCAGGAGTTATAAGCGTTTAAAGTTTTGTTAGAACTCTGAAAATGTGGTCATTTGGGTCTAAAAAAACCTTTAAAAGAGACATTTAATGACTAACAAGGGAAGGTGAACCGGGCGTGGCCAAATGACAGGAGCCATATACTATTCGACGCAGAATTTTGCGCTGATTCCGAATCTGGTTTCCGCCTCTTTCGCGGGCTTCTGAAGATGACGTTAAGCACTTCTTCCATGGATGTGGACGTATCAGTGATATCGTGGCTTTGGATTTGTGGTGAGGGTTTTTGTTGTTTTAAATTGATCAAAAGCCTGTTAGTTAGGCCTTAGCAAGTTCTGAACCTTGTTGTGTCAATAACGAAGTTTAACGTTATAAAAAGTTTAATTTGCAATTTTCAAAGTTAATTTTTAGCGGTCCCAATGTGATCACTATCTGCTAGCTAAATGGAAAGGATTTGGCTGGTAAACCTGTCTACATCAAGCCCTCTCGTGGCCCAAAAGAACATGATTGTGAATATGGTGATCCGGATTTCTATTATTCATAAAAATGTTATGCTAGAGTCCAGGACAAAGCTTCAAATCGATTTCCATACTTATTGGTCACCCTGTAGTTCGACTCCGCCGTTCTACTTTTCCCTTTTTTTGGATTTGCAAAGTTAATTGTTCTCCGTTTCAAATACAAGTTGATTTTAAAATACTTTTCATAAAAATGCTTACTTTAATGATTAACATCAAACAGTAACACCAAACAGCTATCATTAAAATCCAAAAAACTTTCACATTAATAACAATGAGCGAGTTTCATTAATATCAATGAGCGAGATATTCTAAACGATGCTTGTTCAAGTTTGATTTTTTCCCTTGTGAAGATGCAAATTGTGACAATATTCTGATTGATCTCGAAAAAAAATACGGTCCATCCACGATACATACAGAGCTGATCCCTTACATCTTTGTTTACTGTCAGGTTTGCTTAAAGGGGTTGCACATCCGCGCGAGAATGCGTTCTCTAGCAAAAAATTGTGGTTTGCCGCTTAATCTACCGTAAATACTGTAATAGTATCCCACCCCCATAATGACGTAGTCTTGTTGCGTAGTGTTGCGTAGTCTAGCTTTGAACGAGTTTTTCTCGACACTGGTTTATGCTAGAATGTGCGGTTAGGTATCAAAAAATAGCCCTGAATTTCAGCTATTTTTTGAGACCAAAGACGGATTTTTTGAAAGTACGGGCGCTTTGAAAAAAATGAAATACTAAAAAACGGCTACGCGACTTTGCGACTACGCGACTGTACGAGCGGGGTGGGGTACTATTACAGTATTTACGGTAGGTAAGAATTCTACGTAAAATCGGAGTGAAATTGGAATGTTCAATTGAACATCCAGATCGGACACCGGGACGCACTACCATTCGGCCACGCGGTAGCGGTATTCTTTAATTCTTTAATTTCGCTTTTTAGGAAAAACGATCAAATTTCGGTCAAATTATGTGTCAAAGATTATTAGATCTCAACTTTCAGATCGATTGGTTCGGTCATTCGGTAATAGACAGACACAAACACATACTCTCTCTCTCGCTAAAGTAGGATACTTGTCCTTCCGAACCTTGTCCCTCCGAACCCACTGCTATCCCTTGCCAAATTTCAAAAATTCTTCACAACTCTAAATCCGGTTCCCCAAAAAAACAAATTGCATTCCAGTATGAAACATTTGTTTTGGTCATTTTTTCAATCTTCGACTGGTGCCGAAAAAAAACGATTTGAAATTTTCAAAGCACTTTTTCTTGCTTAAAGTCGAAGATTGAAAAGAAGTCCCAAACAAATGTTTCATACTGGAATGCAACTTAGTTTTTGGAAAAAATTTCAAGGATTTTCAAGAGTTTTCGACTTTTCACCGTTAAAAAACGAAGAAACCGACGTTTTTTAGGCGTTTCGGATGCAAAGTTCAGTGTTTAAAATGGAAATTTGGCGATTTAAAGACAAATTTAGTAATATAAATGGAAATTTGGCGATTTAAAGACAAATTTGACAATTTGAATGAAAATTTATTTTTCTTTCTTTAGAATTTATTTTCCTTTCAACAATTGCAAATTTTAACCTGTTTCTATCTTTTTTTTTTGAAAGCTTTTCTTTATCGCTTGCTCTTTCCACCGTAATCTTTTCAATTGCAGATAGAGACGAACCGGGAGTGTATCGGAGAATCACAGGGAAAAGAGAGGAAATGGGTGGCAGAAGGAAGGTCTTCTTTCCATACGCGAATCTCACTCTACGACGAACGGCACGCAAATCTTGGTTGGCTTTTTTTTCTTCTTCTAATGATTTCTTCTTTTTCTTGATCTAATGATTTTGTTGATAAGATCTAATGATAAGGAAGCTGATGTTTTCTAGCAGATAATGTAAAAAAAAACGGTACTATTTCGGTTCAGACGGGCCATTTGAACCTGGCTTGACTAGGTTTCTAGTCAAGCAGTCTAGTCTAGTCATTTTAGGTTTCTTGTTTTTAATTCCAAGTGCAATAGCTCTGTGATAGTATAGCAATTAGCCTTAGCAATTAGCAAAACTTAAAAATGCTAGATAAAACGGTTAACGAAGTTTTGCCAAAGAGAAACCGTTGTGTAGGATTGCGTATTACGGTTATTATATTACTTATTATATTACTTATTATATTACTATTACTATTACTGTTATTATATAGTATTACTGTTACTGAAGATGTTATTTGTGATAGAAACAATTCAAAAATAGGTTCTGATTAAGATTTCTTTAGATCTTTAGATTCTTTTGAGCTGAGCTATTCAATCATAGATGTTCTTAGGAATCTCGCTGTTTATAGAATTTAGCTGTTCATAAGATCTTGCTGTTCATAAAATCTTGCTGGTTCTAAAATCTCGCTTTTTATAAAATCTTGCTGTTTATAAAATCTTGCTGTTAAACATTACTCTTTTTCTTTAGTTTCCCGAGGTGGCCGTCGGCGATGATCTTTCGGCGCGATCCGTGCGGTTTGGCGTGCGTTTTCCTCATCTACGGAGCGATTGGGTACGCCGAGTACGCACTCGTCTTCTGGATGTTGTTGCCGACGTTTGGTGAAAGGTGAGTGTGCTGTGTGATTTACTAAACTAGATCCGCGACTACTTTTAAAGGGGGCGGCATATGTAGTTTTGTGCTTCTTGAATCTTTGCATCTTTTTGACTTTCTAAGACAATACATTGACCAAAGCTGCAAAATAATAAATAATCATAAAATCTACATTGAATTTTGCGTAGTTCTACGCGTAATTTCACATAGAATCGAAGAATCGAAGAACGGAGAAGAAGAAGAAGAAGAAGAAGAAGTAGAAGAAGAAGATTTTTTAATGGCTTTGACAACCCTAGCTAAGCAGAAAATGCTATGCGGCATGCTGAAAAACTTAAATTAAGTTAAATTCGAATTTAGGATTTCTAAAAAATCATCTCTTTCCGTCTTTTTCTGCACTAATACCTTTTTTGAGTTAACTACTATAAAAGTATTACTACTTTTATAGTAATGACCTCCATGATTGCAAACATGTGATGATTTAAGTAAGTGCTTTTTGACCTCCATGATTGCAAACGCGTAGTGATCTTGGCTAACAAAAATAGGCACATTTTTGAACAATTTCATCTTTTCAAGAGCAGCAATCACGTTTAAATTCTTAGATAAAGCGAAGAAAGTTTTAAATTTTTACACAAACTTAATTAAAAAGGTATTAATGCAGAAATCTAGTGAAAAAAGTCCATAGATTTTAAAGATCTAAACGAAAAAACTGTCAACTCTTTTAGTTTTTGAGAAAATCATACTTTTATAGGGCTATATATCCCGCACCAACACTATATATCCCGCACCTTGTATTAGCTCCAAAATCTCGAACCTTATTAAGGCGACAATTAAGCAATTTTGATTGTTTTTTTAAAAACAATTTGGCCTTAGCAAGCTATTTTGATTGTTTTTTTTAAAGTTAACTTTTCCATGTTAATTTTTGCTTATTTAGTTTCTGGGGAGCTGTGCATATTGTCGTGCTGAACACGTTGTTTCTTCTGGTCATCATCGCTCACGCGCGCACAATGTTCACCGATCCAGGGATCGTTCCGATCAGCAAAAACTCGTGCGTTTTTGTTTGTTTAACGTGATTTTAAGAAAGAATTGCTTGAAATGATAGTAATTGGTATTCTCTTTGTAATTATATTATCTTTGTTCAGAAACACGAAAAATCGGCGGGCAACGCTTCGGCAAGGCGAGGGCAGCGACTCCGACGACAGTGACAGCGAACGGGAAATGATGATGCTGAGGAGGGACAATGATCGATTAGTGAGTCTAGAGCTCTAGAGCTGAGGACTATTGGCCCTTCCCAATTCTCAATTACCGTAAAAACTAATAGAATGGCCTTCTATTGGAGCGTCGCGTAGTCTAAGTTTACTCTCTAAGTCTAAATAAACAAACGCTCATATCTCGGCGCCCAGAAATTTGTTTCTACGCGCTTGGGTATCAAATTAAAGTAGAAAGATAGGGCGATTTTTTAAGATATAACACGTATTTTTAGCATTAACCAGCGTTTAGAACAAAATGATTGAAAAATGGCGAAGAATCGGCTTTTTTTGACACTTTGAATCTGATGAAAAATCGGCTTTTTTGCCGATTTTCAATCATTTTGTTCTAAACGCTGGTTAATGCTAAAAATATGTGTTATATATCAAAAAATCACCCATCTTCTCTACTTTAATTTGATACCTAAGCGCGCAGAAACAAATGTACTGGTGTTGAGATATGAGCATTTTTTGGAGAGTAAACTTAGCGGCTTCTATAGGGAGCCGTTCTATTAGTTTTTACGGTATTCTTGGCTTCTCAATTCTTGACTCTTTATTAAGAAACTTGATGATCGATAGTAAAACTAAAATTTCAAAACGTTACTTGCAAAAAAAAACTTGTCTCCTAGTCGGGGGTCAAAGGCTCGATCCCGGCGGCTAGAAAGATTGGTTCTTTCTCTCATTATTATGAGTTTTTTCTTAACAACACTTGGATAATAGTAAAAGTACCCCTTTTATTGTAATTGCCTAATTGTAAGGGTAAAAATTTCCTCTGTTTTGTTGTAATTCCATTATTCGCGTCGAATAAATGTCCTTTTTTGATTTCAGGGTGAAGAGTGGACGGTGTGCACGCGTTGCGAATCGTTTCGCCCGCCTCGTGCTCATCATTGTCGCATTTGTAAGCGCTGTGTACGGAAAATGGATCATCATTGTGAGTTTTTGAAAATTTTAAAGTATCACAAAGTCCCAATGTCCAATTGACCATAAAGTAACCCAAAAAAAGACGTCAAAATCGTTCAAGTGTTGAGATTAAATGCCTACTTTCACTTAAATGAAGTGAAATTTGCATAAAAAGTTCCAAATTTGAACTTGAATTGGCAAATCGACACTTAAAGTCCGATTTGCATTTTAAAATGGCATTTGCTGTAAGATTTGTTTGAGTATTTTGTGATTAGCAGGCTTGGTCGAGTAGTTAGCAGGCTTGACCGAGTAGTTAGTAGGCTTAGCCGAGTAGTTAGCAGGCTTAGCTAACGTTTCAAAGATCTAAGGGTTAATCCTGGCCAAGAAAATAGGACTTTACAATACATTTAAACCTAAAAGACCATGAAATCCACGTCTGCAAAGTCAAGGAAATCCACGAAATCTACGATTTTTAGGTCCATGGGTGAACAACTGTGTCGGCGAGTTCAATCAGAAATTCTTCTTGCAATTTTTGTTCTACGTCGCCCTCAGCAGCACATATTCGTTATTGTGAGTTTTATTGAATCTTTATTTTATCGCTTTTTCTTTTAGTATAATCATCATTTCGTGGGCGAATCATAACGAATTTGGAACAACGGGGTTGAAAGGGCCAAATGGACCGAATGTTCATCATGCTAAAGTGTAAGTTTCTTTAAGAAATTATTGCCTATTGGTTCTAAAGGGTGACCTAGGACACTGTTGGTATTTTGCGTGATTCGAAAAGTTACCATCGATACTGTAGTTGTTTAGTGCAAACTCTAAATATGACCTAGCGGTGTTGTAAATTGGATTAAACTCTAAAAGATCCTCTTTTCGGGTACTGTAGCTATTTAGACGTATTCCAAAAAGTGACCTAGGGTTATTGTGGGTATTTTGATAGATTTGCTTATCTAAATTCCATTTTTAGACTTCACACGATTGTCATCTCGATCGAGAGCGCTCTCTTTGGCATGTTCGTCATCGCGGTTTCATGTGATCAGGTGGGGATTTTGTTTTGCTGGAAAAATTTTATTAGACTTGGTTCAGTAGAAAATTTGCTTTTTTATCGTAAGGATTATTTTCTAATTGATTTTCCCCTTCAGCTACAAGCGATATGGAACGACGAGACGGCTGTGGAAGCGGTGCAAAGGAGGGGCATGCGGGCGACTCGGCGACAGAAGTCTTCGTGGAGTGCCCTCTCGCAAGTTTGTGGACACGGTGAGTGCCTTTTTTTCTGATTTGCTTGACCGTGCTTCTGGCCTGACCGGCCATCACTTATGGTCTTGAGGACGAGCCCTAGTGGGCTTGTATTCGGTGTCCTAGACTTGGCTAGGTGTCCAGTACCATAGACTAGGACTAGCGACTGTACTGGTATCTAACCAGTACCGGTATCCAGTTCTTCAGCTATGTACGACAGCTTTGGTCACTATTAGGGTATCAGAGACCTGGGCGGGCTCTAGTCTGGCCTGATCTAGAATTAGAACTAGCCTGGATCTGGTTCTGCATCTGAACCTGAATGTGACTGGCACTTTAACAAGGGAAAGATACCGAGTCAAGCTGACCCTTTGACTCGAGACGAAGTCCATCTTATAGAGTCGGCCATTGGGATCTCGAATCTGTTTTTAGTTTTTGCAGAACGCTTCGCAAATGCGAGATGTCTAAATTTTGGACTCCTTAAGAAGTCGTCAAACGCTCCCCAAACAAGTGCTTCGGTGGTCTAGTGAGTAGCCTGCTAGACAACTAGACAAGCCTGCTAGACATCTAGACAAGCCTGCTAGACAACAGACAAGCCTGCTATTGCGTTTTTGCTCCAAGTTCGAGTCCCACTCTCGCCAAACTTTTTTGCTTTTTCAAAAAACTGTTTTCCTACGTATTTGTAATGAATAATAGAGTTGAATTTATATTTTATACACCGTTGAATTTTATACGTCGCTTTCTGCAACTTCAACAAATAATTTACAAAAGCTGGAACTTAAACCAAAGTATCAAAAGCAGTAGATAAGTATTGAAAAATTTAATTTACGAAGCGTTCTGCAAAAGTTAGAAGCGGATTCGAGATCCCCATGGCCAACTCTAGAAGATGGACTCGGTCTCGAGTCAAAAAACCAGCTTGGCTTGGCGCCTTTCCCTTGTAAGACCATGCCTGGCCACCATTGATTAATTTTCCCATTTTCAGGCGGTCTCCTCACGTGGTTACTGCCTTGCTCAAGTGTTCCCCATGTGTCCGAAATAGCGCCGATCGAGCACAATGCACATTTTACCGTTTGAACATACGCCTTATAAAGATTTAAAAAGTAAATTAGCTCCACGGATGTTGTCAAGTGTTTTTTTTGTATTTTTTAGTGTTTTTTTTAGCAAACGCGCTTCACGCTTTTACCCTGTGCGTCCCAAAAATTAACCCTCAATTTTCATTCGTCTCTTTGTCCCTTTGTCCATTATTTATTTATCATTTATATTTTTTTTGCGCTTCATCAAGATATTTTCATTCTACGGGTACCACCCTATATAAAGATTTGCTTTGTAATCAATATTATTTATATTTTTTATATGCAAATTTTTAGGTATTTCCTTTATTTATTCGATCAGTGAGGCTCCGAGATACGGGTAGATTCTTCTTCTTGGCTAACGAAATGTGCTCCGCTTTGTGAAATTTCTTTTGGACTTTATTTGCATTTTGTGGAAATAAAGTTTTATGAAAAATAGGGAGATTATTGATTACCGTAGAAGACCGGGTAAAGAGTATCATCGCGTACTCCTGCGTAGCAGCCCTTTTTAAAGATTTCTTTTCTACATAAAAAAAGCTTTCAATGAAGTGCTATAGAGCTGGAAAATGGCTCAAAAATCTGTTAGCTCATTTGGCATTTTTGAGTCATTTTCCAGCCCTATAGCACTTCATTGAAAGCTTTTATGTAGAAAAGAAATCTTTAAAAAGGGCTGCTACGCAGGAGTACGCGATGATACTCTTTATCCGGTCTTCTATTCGAAGAAATACGGTATTTTACGTTGAAATGGTACGCTACAAAAAGGTGTCTTTTAGGAAATTAGTGCAAAATAGGGATTGTTTACGGTAGCTTTTCAATCAAATTAAAATGCCGAGCAGATTTGAGAGAATCCCCCGATCCATTCGCCACATCGGATTCCCCGTACCGTAGTAGTACGATTGATAATCTGAAAATGGGACTGTGTTTCCGAAAAAACGTGTCATTTTCCTCCAAAAACTACCGTAATCTTACCTCTATTTTTTTTATTGAATCTATCAACTTTTTGGTTTGATTTTGTGAAGGTTCACAAAGGATATCGAAATGATTCAAAAGTGGATAGCTTTGATGGAAATAGAGACTAGATTACAGTAGTTTTTGGGGAAAGGGTGCACGATTTAGGAAACGGCATTAGATTTTTGCGAAACAAACTTGTGTATCCTTGTGCCCGAGACGAGGGCTGCTGAGAGAAACGCTCGAGGAAAACGTTGGGCACACGGTTGAAAATCTCACCGAATGGATAATTGTTGGAGAGTCCTGCAAGTGAAGATCTCTAATCTAGTATATAAAAGGATCTGTCTGTCTATCTGTTTGTCTGTTTGTTTGTTTGTTTGTTTGTCTGTCTGTCTGTTTGTCTATTTGTTTGTCTGTCTGTTTGTCTGTCTGTTTGTCTGTCTGTTTGTCTGTCTGTTTGTCTATCTATCTATCTATCTATCTGTCTGTTTGTTTGTCTGTCTGTTTCTCTGTCTGTCTGTCGGTCTGTCTGTCTATCTGTCTGTCTATCTGTCTGTCTATCTGTCTGTCTAAGGTCGTACGGGGGGTCGAACCCGGGTCGTAGACATTGTTGGAGAGATCTGCGCAAGTATTTTGGCACATGCAACTATGGAGGAGGTGATATTATGGTTTGAGCCGGCTTTTCTTTCCAGGGTGTGGTCAATTTGAAGTTCTTGTTAAATCGGATGAACAATCAAGATTATATCAATGTTCTGGATGATTGTCTCGTGCCTTTTCTTGCTCAAAGCGCGCTCCGTCAGCCCTAGTCAGAAGCCATCGGCTGGTTGAGCTTGTAAGCTACAGTGGTGTACTGATTCAACTTTTCAGCTGCAACAGATCAACGTACACTAGGCTTACAACGATCTTTGGCTTGCAGCGATCTTTGGCTTACAGCGATCTTTGGCTTACAGCGATCTTTGGCTTACAGCGATCTTTGGCTTACAGCGATCTTTGGCTTACAGCGATCTTTGGCTTACAACGATCTTTGGCTTGCAGCGATCTTTGGCTTACAGCGATCTTTCAATTACCCTTCTAGCTGTTCTAGAGCTTGTAAGTCGGGCTCAGGCCTGGCTTCTAGCTGATCAAGTTGTGCTTAACTATAAGTAAGCCAAGCCTGTATCAGGCTCTTGGACTGGGCCTGGTAACTAGGCTAGGATAAGTCTGCTACAACACCCGAACTTTGTCCGTACCTGGCCGCGCCTTGTTATTGTACAATGCCAGGACTGGGCCAAGTAAACGTGCCCAGCACTGACTTTCAAACGTGCTCAGCACTGAGACTCATCGACCCTTCAAAAAGCCTACCGTACTGCCCGGATTGTCCATATCGATTTGCTGAATAGCTACCGTAACCCGGGTAATAAATTCTTCCTCCTCGATTCTCCCATTGGCAATAATAGCATTTAAAAAGAAAAATCGAGAAAAGCAAGGAAAATTTCATATTTTGACAATGAAATCGAAATGTTTTTCTGGATTTTCAAAAATGTTTTTTTTTCGCTCAAATTTCTCACTTTTCCCATTCCAACAATGGCATTAGCGCATTGTAAACCAGAAAAAAAAAGCCGAAAAGTGATCAGTTTTGCGCGATTTTTGCGCGAACGAGAATATTCTATTGAAAAATGAAAATATTTGTAAAGAAAATATTTTCGATAAACAAATAAAATGACTTTTTTTTTTTTTAAACTGGTTGAGGTTTTAGACTTTAAACTTTTTAAATTCGCTGAGCCTCATCTGGTTCTGGTTTAAGTAAAAGTTTGAAATTTGAAAATCTAAGGAAATTGGCGTTGCACAGAATCGTTACCTCTGCTTAAAATTGATTTTAAGCCAAGAAAATTTGACTAAAGCCAAGAAAATCTTTGCTTAAAAAACAATTTTCAGGCAATCTGGAACGCACAACGAAATCTAGTTAAAGAAAATTTTTGAAATTTGAAGATCTAAGGGAACTGGTTGCACAGAATCGTTACCTCTGCTGAAAATTGACTTTAAGCCAAGAAAATTCTTGTTTAAAATCAATTTTTAGGCAATCTGGAACGCACAACGAAATCTGGTTAAAGAAAATTTTTGAAATTTGAAAATCTAAGGAAACTGGTTGGACAGATTGTTTGAAAATTTGAGATTTTCTCAAAAAATTCTGGCTGAAAGTCAATTTTTGGGAAATCTAGAAAAGCGTCTCATTCTCAAACTAACTGTAAAAGTGTTGAGAATGATTTTACCCCTAAATTATTGACCTTCAAAGCTTCAAAGACTTGACACTCATTCAAGTTGTAGCCAAGAATAGTGTCGAGGAGAAAAGCTCTACGATAGCTTTTATCTAGCCGGCCTTTATCCAGCTTTTATCCGGCTTTTATCCGGCCTTTATCCAGCCTTTATCCAGCTTTTATCAAGACTGGGAACATTACGGAACTCAAAGATGTCCCATAGGTCACTCAAAGATCTCCCCATAGGTCATTGTACTTTGTTTGGAGCAGCATTTCATCAGAAATCTTGCTTCAACTTTGCTCATATGGCGTTGCTCATAGTTGCTCACGCAACTTTGCTCATAATTGGGTGACAAAGAAAGATCCAAATAACTCATATCATTAATATAAAGCTCTAGAAATGACAATGAGACTGAGAAAAGCTAAGAAATTTCTGAGTGAAAGTGAGACTTTTTGAAAAAAAAAGAAGGAAATGATGGGGTAGTTTTTGAACAAAAAAACAAGTTCGTTGGCGCCAGTTGATGACTGTTTAATGCTTTAATGAAACAAAAGATATTCAGCTATACAGCTATACAGCTATTCAGCTATACAGCTATTCAGCTATTCAGCTATTCAGCTATTCATTTATTCAGCTATTCAGTTATTCAGCTATTCAGCTATTCATTTATTCCATTTTGCTGGCTAAATAATTTCCTTACTCTAATCTGAGTTTACTTTGAGTTTAGATTCTTGTTCTGCTTCGAAGTGATCCGATGGTGTTTGGGACTCGAAAACTTTGGTGCTGGTTCTTTGATGGTTTTAGACGCCTTCGGTGCTGATGATCGCTTTGAGCATAGCTCTGATCATCGCTCTGATGATCGCTCTGAGGATGGTTTCGAATCGGATGAATCGGATGAATCGTTTTGACTATATGGTCTTGCTCGATTGCTTGCTACCGTTTTTGCTCTTAAATCCAACCGTTCCCTATGTGTAACACGACAACGCGTCGATTCATCGAGCCGGAGACACCGCGAGACGGAGATGTGAGGTTGAGGCTGAGCTGAGGCTGAGCTGAGGCTGAGCTGAGGCTGAGCTGAGGCTGAGCTGCGGCTGAGCTGAGGCTGAGCTGAGGCTGAGCAACAACAACATTGCAACTTTGGACTGACCCGCTCGATCTCCAGACGTCAATCCGATAGGGAATTTATGCCGAATACTTGTCCAAGCTGGCTACAAGAGTCATCGTCAGTTTCAAGACGTTTTTGCACTTAAAGCAGCGATCCGCTTGGCCTGAAGCGATCTCGAGTGGCCTCTGCTGACCTCTGCTGACCTCTGCTGACCTTTGCTGACCTCTGGTGACCTCTGCTGATCTCTGCTGACCTCTGGTGACCTCTGCTGATCTCTGCTGATCTCTGCTGGACCTCTGCTCTTTAAAACCTCATCACTTCAATGCCAAACCACATTTTTCAAGTAATTAATCGTTCTGGCGCGTGTACAGATTATTAGCTTTGATTTTCGTTTTAATTTTCGTTTTAATTTTCATTTTGATACCTACCGTAGCCTGGTATACTTTGTGTTTTATTTTGGATAGCCTGGTATACTTTGTGCTCCCGTAAACGCATCCCTTCTGCCACACTGAATTCCTCGAGTCAAAAGAGCCATTTCCGACTTCAAAAGAGGCTAATGGTGGCAAATTTCGCTTTCGAACAGAGCTTGTTTAGGTGATGTAAAAAAAAAATGAGACTGTCAAAAGGGGTTTAGGCTTGGAAAGACGAGGAAAAAGATGAAAAGCCGAAAAAACGAATCCCTTTCGTCGAATTGGATGTCACAGACAGAAATGCAA